CAATTATCATGGGACAAACCATCAACGTACCTGTACTATACATATGAGTAAGACCGTATCTTAATTGATATGTTTGAGTTTGTAGCAGAGGTCTTACTAATCGTATTGTTGCATTATGAGTTGGATCTAAATGCCATTCTTCTGGTATTGGATAACGATCACGTCGTAGACAATAATCATTGAAAAGTTGTCTCCAGTTTGTAGTGTTTTCTTCATCCATATAATGCATACGATCTAAATCAGGCAGTGGTATGTGGAGAAAACCAATATGATCAGCCAAATCTTTAGTGAATTTCGATCGATGAACACCAAAATTTGATTCAACATCAAAAAACAACGTATTATCGTGGATATTAGCAATGGTATAATGTTGAAATAATTTATGATGAAATAGATAGTAATAATTTTTATTCATATAATCAAATGGAAAGGGCACTTCTGGAGGATTTTCTTTATATTTCATGGAAAATGAAGCGATCGGAGGTTTAACCATAATACGGAATAAAGGGGTTGTTTTCACAATGGACAATGGCCGCGACATGGCAACACTGGCCATTTCTATTTGTAAACAATTGAATTCTAGTTCAAAATCTATAAGATATATCAAAACACAATACCATTCAAATCTGTATAAGTTGAGAACAGAGAACAAAATTTACTCTGAGTTTATATAACTAAGAATAGTATCAGTGCCGTTCCGAGAGAAAAAACGTAGAAGGAATCTAGTGTTTTTTGGAAGAAAGGTATAATGCTAAGAAAATTTTTTGGGGAGAAGCGATCTGAAACGAAAAGTAGTTACAAGTCTGAATAGTATCGGATTTGTTTAAGATACGATTGTAACAACCAAAAAAAGCATAGTGGAGTGGCAAAAAAATGCTGTTTTTGTCAGCAATTGAGTACCCCAGCATGTGAAGTAAGACATTCAGTAAGTAATCTAGCACCACTTCCTCTTAATACCACTCGAATGCCCATTTTACTTCCTAACTTGGTTTTGGAAGACCATTTTGTACATGAATATTTTAGAATAATTTAAAAGGATAATTAGTGTTTATAACAGGAAAAAACACAGACGTTATTGCTTATTATATGGATGGCTTCATTTTGCCAGTTCAGTCTGACATACTGAACTCACTTTCAGTCCGGTGTTTTTCGATTTCGATTTTTTTATGTTTTGTCTTTTGAGAAGTGAATGCATAACATCCATAGAAAAATTTCAAGAAATTTGTGATAAAAGTTTCAGCTCGAACGAACAAAGTTTTGATGAAACCAGTTAATGTATCATGAGCGTTAGACCACATTCGAACACGAGTTAAATCAGTCGTAACTGCTTTTTTTCAAGACTTTCATGCCAATTCTTATATGCTAGACAGTTCAAGGACGTTTTATTCGTAAGAATGTTTGTTCTACAAAACTGTGTGATTAAATAACGTTTAAAAACTAGAAAAATGAAAGAAAAAATTTTGAGAATATAAAAACGGATATTTTAAGCTAAAACCCTAGCGAATGTACTTGTACTCACGTACTTCGCTTGCGTAATGAAGCTAGTATTTGTCTATTTTCCAGAGGAAAATTTACTCATAAGCACTTGTCTAACTCAAGCATTTGGCTAACTCAATCTAAGTAAATTTACTTGAAAAACTTTGGTTACAAGTGCAGGGTTCGCAAAAATGTTTTTCCACGGAGTAGAGAGTTCAAACTACAAATGATACAAGAATGAATTATATATCAATTTAATGCTTATTTAGAATAATGCTTAATGAGTATAATTAACAATCAATATGTCGATTGTTGGCTGTAGAACTGTGGAAATTTCTAGAGTTTTACAGAACACAGGAATGGCAAAATGTTTTTCTAGGAGATAAAACTCAAACTACAAATGATACAAGAATGATGAATATAGCAAATCAATATTTATTTTAATGAATCATCATGCTCATAAAAAATAAACATTGATTTATTTTTTATTTTACTATATTCATCATTCTTGTATCATTTGTAGTTTGACTTCTATCATTTTGCTATTTCTGAGTTCTGTAAAATTCCAGAAATTTCCACAATTTTACAGCCAACAATTTATTTTCTAAGTTTATACTGATTGATATTGCGACATATATATACAACTTGTCAATGAAAAACACAAGAGTGATTGACTAATCCAACTACTTCGCTGAAGCGAACGAAGTGATGATACTTGGTGAGTACTTAGAGAAGAACTTAGGAAGTAAAAACATTTGCCAAGTTCTTGTTCAAGTGTTCAGTAAGCGAGAAAGCTTGTCAAGTACTTCCCAAATACTCGCCAAGTAATCAATAGTAGTAAGTGTTTGTAACGTAAATGATATGTACAATACACACAATAAAACTTTATGTACATTCTGGTTCTATCACAGTGCGACAAAAAGCAAAAAGCTAAATGTTAAAAATCTCTAACCATTAAAAACACGATGAGAATCCGTTCTATTTTTGATTAAAATAAAAGATTTTCGAAGATAGGTACGACACTTTTTGCAATTTTATTTTTATATTAGTGTTTTTTCTACTGTTATATCGGCATCTTTGGTTGTTGCATTTTCTAAACTATTGGCTACATCTCCTCCAGAATGTAATTCGTCGATGTTGACATAAAGAACTTTCAGCTTCCTCTATCATTTTGAGTATTAATGGCCGATGCATGGATATAGAAAATTCAAGATGATCGAAGAGAAAAAATCAAACTCTTTCAATGGTTATACTCAAGAAAAGTTTTTCGATTGTTTATATGCATCATCAAACAGAAACCTGGATACATTTTTCAGAAGAGTAACTGTTTTCTCTCATGAAAATGATCCATCTTTTTCAATAAAAAAGTCATTACTTATCGATTATTCAAGAATACTCATGATGAGCATTTCAGATTACAGCATTAACGGCTTTTCTCCTTCAAACAGAGAAACAACAATCCCACACGAATGACAAAGGTGGGTTCCCAAATATATCACATACAAATGAGTCAATAATTTGATGTCCGATGTTCATTGAAAAGATAACGACAGTTAGTGGTCAGGAATTTGAGTGTTTCTGTTTTGGCGTCAACCGGTAGCTTCAAAATTTTGAAAGTATTGCAGTATTTACGAACCTTATACTGGAAAACCCTATGAGACATGATGATGAGTGATAATCGACTGTGTTCATCATTTTAGCGATCAGCGGTCATCCGATTACGGATGTTTCAGATGCAAGTTTGTTTCTCTCTTTCCATCACTACTTGCTTATTTTTATTTACAGATAATTGTTAATAGTGTGTTAAACTCAAACGCAAAACATCTTATTTTCTCTTTTATACACGTTCAGACACATACGTAAATCTAAAAATGGCTAGTGGGAATGCCACTGCATCACCGCCAAATTACTATTGCTATAAATGTTGTCAACACATTGTACCTGTATCTGTACCGGTAAGACTCTGAAAAGCAATATCAACAGTTCAGTATTATTAAAACATTTTGTACTTTCTCATTTAGTATGAATGTCCCAGATGTAAAGAAGGATTTATTGAAGAAGTTCCTCCAGAACAACAAAATGCTCAAGCGTATGTTTTTTTTTCTGCATTTGATTGCGTGATACTTTTTTAATTATATCATCGCATTGCTGTTTATTTAGATCGGGAAGGGGCAGGCATCAAATAGGAAGATCAGTAAGTATATTTGCTAGGATGTTGATTTTTCATCTGAGATTTCTATCATGGTAGAAAGATGGTCTGTTATGTTAAGTTCGAATTTTTCTAAATTTTACTATCGTATATGAGATTTTATGAGACGTATATGAGAGATTTTTAAATTTTTAGACGTTTTTATACTGATATTATACCCACTCTCGTTTTTTTAGCCATTTGGAACCAGTCAAACGATCTTTGTACCTGGAGGAAACGGATTAGAACAAATGTTACAGTCAATCATTCATCAAATAACTGTAGGTCCAGACAATATGCCATTGTACGTATCATATTTTTGTTATTCATCGTTTTAATATAACAGATTTCGATAAGCAGTAGAATATCTTTGATCTTTGGTTTGACTTCTTGTAGAACACCATAAATAATTAAATATTTGGTGTTGAAGATTTATTATCTAAAGCGAAAAATCGAATTTATTGTTCTTTTTTGAGTTATTTGCACTCAACAGAGGAAATCGTGAAAGATTCGTCAGTTGAAATGAATTTCTTAGTCGGATATTTCTAAGGACAACTGCATCAACATTATGAAAGACAGACACGCCAGTATTATAATAATTTACCTTTATTAAATTTTTTTAGCGGAAACATCATTATGCAACCGGGTGGTCAAAATTTTGATTTTCTTGCGCAGGTAATAGGAAATCACAATTGTAGTCTACTACTTATAACATTTGGTGCTTTCATTACAGTTTCTAAATCAACTGGAAAATTCCGGTCCGGCACCAGCACCAGAAAATCGAATTCATGCTATCCCAACAGTGAAAATAACAGCCGAACAGGCACGTAAGTATTCTACTAGCAAAACAGCTACTAATGATCAATGACTACATTTATTATTTTCTTTTATTCAAGGTGATAATCTACAGTGTGCTATATGTATGGATGAATTTAGACAAGATGACGAAGCAAAACGTTTAAATTGTAATCATTATTTTCATGAACAATGCATATCACGATGGTTAAGACTGGTAAGACTATGTTAGGTTTTCTTCCTTTCTCGTGGATCATTCCAGGAAACGAAGAAAGATAACCACAGAGAGAAAAAATCGATGTTCATTGGGCAATTGTCTTATCATTGCTATTAGATGTAAACTAAACGAGGGAAAGGAAGGAATCGACCATATGTGTTTTAGTAGTCTTTTGTGAAACTCCTTTTAATAGTTTTCGAAGGAAGAAGGAATATAAGTTTTATACTCAAATCTTTAGGATTTTGGCCATTTTTTCTCAGAGATGGGCAACTTCAGAAGGAGTTGAAGCTGACAATTTCGGAGTTGAGCGGACTTTTTGTGGAGTTATGCAAAATTTATCGGAGTTAGACTGTGTATTTGAGCAATATCGACGCTAACACAAATAAAAGTTGAGCGGTTCCTACGGAGTTATACCAAGAGTTACATTGGTTACTAACGGAGTTGAAATTAGAGTTGCCCATCTCTGCTTTTTATTCCCTTCTCTCTTCCTTCCCTAGTAATGACCCTAAAGGCTTCTGTCTAGCAATTAGTTTATTACCTTATATTTGTAACAAAAAATATTAACCAAGAATTAACAATATTAACTGAGTGCCCGCTGCTCAGAGGAGTTCCACATTTTAGCCTCAATCTGAGCTCCGCTCACAAGATTTTTAGTAATAATACATGGCTTAGTGAACATTGGTAAACAAATCGTTGATTGTACTACGTACTCTATATTACTGCGTAAATTAAAATTTTACTTTAAATGTAAATCGTACACTTATTTTAATCGAGAAGTTCTTTTTTGCACTACCCAGGGGTGGCACTTTCTCGTTTCTTTCCCAAAAAAAGAAAAGTAAAAACTGGCTTTCCTTTTCTTTTGGAAAAGAAAAGTTTTTACTTTCCTACGTTTCTTTCCTAAAAGGAAGAAAAAGAAAGTAGATATAACTTTCTTTTGTGTTTTTCTGCACGAATAAAGCACTTTGAAGCAAAACCAAGTCCATAAAGGGTGTATACTAAGTTCTGACCCGCTTTGTAAATTGACGTTATTTATATGAAATACATGTGATACATTTC